ATTGCTAGTCTCGTATTTTGAAGCTGCACCAAAGCATCTCTATCAGCCTTCAAACCGATCTCATATGATTTAGTGAAGCCCTTAAGAGCCTTCCGTTTTTCACCAATTTTTGTCCGTGGTACTGCTATTGGCTGCTGTTTCTTTATTCTGGGAGCTGGAATGGGTCTATATGGTGGGATGGGATTATTCTCAAAATATCGGATTAATTGTTGTACATTCCTTCTTGGCTTTGGAATTGGAGTCCTTCTAACAGAAATAGGGTGTGCTTCTTCCCTCACTCGTACTAAATTCTCGAGATCACTATCTGTAAGCCCAGATAACAATCTTCTTATAAGTTCATTACGATTAGTCTTCATATTATTACTATATATTATATTATTTTTATTTGAACGCACCATCTGCATACTAGTATGCGGCGCTATTTCTTTAAGTCTCGACAAACCGCCCAAAACCGGTTCAAACCGGATTCCCAAGGTCAAATCCAAAATATATTATATGCGCCGGTGCCGCCATGTACTATACTACTATTTAAATCAAACAATAAACTTGTAATCCACAAATAAGTTAACTTAAGGGCAGATATGTGAATTTTGAGGGAAAGGCTAAGTGATTTTAGAGTGAAAAAAATCTTACGTCGAGTTTATAGCCTTATATGTACACCCAAATAATAGCAATCATCTTCGATCACATTTAAGAGCCATAATGGCTCTTGATCACAGTAGATTATGCCTGGAAAACAAATTCTTGGAAAGGAGACCAGGCCGAATTTTTTGCTTTCGACCAGGTTACTTTAAAAAAACATGCCAAGAAATCTGGGTGTAAACCAACCTTTTTACTTTTTATACATCACATCTGAGGTGAAACAGGCGCTGTTTCTATCATACAGACTCAGACAGACTCAGACTCAGACAAAATGCAGTATTTCACAATTTTTGAAGACAAATTGTACTCATTCAATATTCAGAACGATCGAAGCAAGGGTGGGCTTTTAGCGAAATCAGTTCAAATCAAAAAATTAAATAAAGTCAAATCAATCAATCAATATTCAACCATCGAGGCACGCGTATACTTTTAGCGAAACCCGTTCAAAAAAATTTCCAAAATCACCTATACGGCTACCGGTTCTCACTTTTGACAAGCGCCAATTTTGCAGTGAACATTAAAAGAGTTATGCTTCAACACAAAAATAATTTATTGTGTTTATCTTTTATTTAATGGTTTTATAACGATGTGTAATCTTAAAAAGCGTTTGATACGCGCGGCATTTTGAGTACCCTAGCAAGCGATGTTTATGAACGACTGTAAACAAAAGGCAAAGCGATTAAAATTGCAAGAGACTATTAACAATCAATAAAAGAAATATAATTCGGTGAAACATTTATAGAGACAACAATTTTCATTCACGAAGACAAGAATTAAATTTTTTCTAAAAATCCTGAGTCTGTAAGCTTAAAGCTTAGGTTTATGTTTTAAGCCGGCTTCCCGGTGTTTGCTGTTTTCAAAGATGAACTCGAGGCAAGAAAATCGCTCAAAGCTTTCTTTCTACAGCCAAAATTATAACTAAACATTCTTCGGAACGTTTCTTCTTTCTATTTGCGGTGAGAAAATATCGACTAAAGGCTTTTTAAAGTTCTGTAAGCTTATATCAAACCTCATACTAGGTCAGATCATTGTCTGAAATCTTATTACAAACGTTCATAAAGAAACCTTATAAACTGCGCTCGATTACCATTCAAGAATCAGCTCCTGAAAACTATCAAGTAACGCCAGAATCGCTTGAGACTTTTCAACCCTCTTTACGCAACCAGCAAGGTGAAAAACGAAAACGATGCCATCCGAAAAAGGATTTCCAACTTTGAAAAGCGGCGCATTTCTCAACAAAAATTCATTATATAAAACAAACCAGCCATGAATAACAGAAGGCTCTTGATAGCATCTGTATTTCATTTGTACATCCAGTGGAAAAGACAGTTAAAAACGTCACAAGTTAACGCAAAAGTCTGTCAGCTTTAGCTGTCAAAGTAAACAAGTTTCAAGATGCTGTTTAAATTTTCCACATGAAGTAACCTGTCAAAATTTTGACCAATCAGAGCATAAAAATCGGACGTAGAGCGTGACCAACGCGTAACTATAGTTGGAAAAGTGAAAAGCATCTGTTTTCCCTGCTTTTATTTTTAAATAACTGGCTGAATTTTTGCGTCCGAGGTCAGTTTGAAATCAAATTGTTAATGGTGCGGGTTATAGTATGATTTTTTAAAAAATAAACTTGAGCCTGCGATCATTTGAAAACTAGTAACTTATCACCGGATAACTTCACAAAAGTACTCGACCTGGATGCGTCGACACCTGAGCACGCGATACGGTCAGGTGATACTGGTCAGCGGATACTTTGTTTTGACAGTTGTCAATTGATCAAAGCATTGACGTGCAATCAGTTTTCTTCTGGGCTCCCTGGGCTCCCTGGGCTCTGGGATGGGTAGATTTACTTACCCATGGTACTCCGCTGGGGCGCGCGAGAGCTCCGCTATTAACTCATCCTCGAGACCCATGCCAGGGGCGGTCAGTCGGGCCGGGAGAAAAGGCGCGACAAAAGTTTTCAAGCCCATGCCTGAAGACTTTCGTCGCGCCTTTTAACCCGGCTCGACTGACTGCCGCTGGGTCTCCGAGGATGCTATTAACTGAAAGATCTGTAATAAAAAACCCTTACTTTCCTCGAATTAGCGCTCCAACCTGAATAAGCGCACAGTCACATATTCCCTCCTCCATATGCTCCCCTCAGATCAAGAATATTATCAACCTTTTCTTGCTTTATTAAAGTTCAGTTTATGGTATTAATACAGGATGACAGTTTCTTTACTGTTAAGTCAGCTTCAGTTAATATCTCACTCGACGACTTACATAGTTTGTTCATGTGCAGTATAATCGTTTACCGAAAGTTCGGTTTACTCTGAGTCGTCACCTCAGTCTCCGGTCTCTGCGTCACTTGGCCTTATAATTATCATCAGTGGCTTCGTACTTTTCATTGAAGGTTCTGTAGATGCTTCTGCTGACTTCATTGTAGCCGTCATTTAAATCTTTGTAGTTACGTTTCGGGGCCGACCTCCTCTTACTACTACGGACATACAATCCACCAGCCAAGCCGTCACACGGGGTAGACATTGATCCAAGCAGCACAAAAACTATTAAAGCAATAGCTAGTTTTTCCATCTTTACGCTGAAAGTAAATTTGAAAGTAACGAACCTTCATTAGAATAACTAAAACTAACTTTTAATAAGTATAGGCACAGCCTTTTTCTCCCATATATGTCAAGCTATGCCTAGCTTAGTGTTAAAGTACGCATAAACAGTCAGTATTTTGTATAGTGTTCCAATAAAAACCCGTCTCAAATAATCACAATCAAATTATACTCAGGCGACTCCGATGGACGGTACTCTGTCTACAAAACGCAAGCCAGCTCAATGAAGCCTCGAAAACGCAATACACTGTATATTAGCGGAAAGAGAACATTCCAAAGGCGAAATTTAACTTATCTGAAAAAAAATTTTGCAAGAAAAAAATAAATAAATAAAGGTGAACTATATGTATCCTTAAGTTTAAACAATAGATAGAACTAACAAAGGATAAACTTATTATTAAGATCACTTTACTTCTCTTAACCAAAACAAGTCTTGTACATTTTAGTGTATAAATAAGAAAATCCCTATCCCGTTACTGCTCATGCCAAACATTGATTTATGTCAGGATGTGGCGGTTTCAAAAGATGCATGGAGAGTAAAAAGGAGTTGTGAGTCAATAAACTCGACAGAAGCTGAAGAACACAACTCTTTTGATCACAGCAAAGCTTCGACGACTACATGTGATTACAGAACACAACGCGAGAAACCATCTGGAAACTTTACCCAGCCTAGGCCCCGAGTGCTGGAACTAACATCGTTACATCTCCTTTGTTTTGACAAATTGAAGAAAAAGAAACAACAGACAAGCAGAAAAGAAAGCATGTATATTTAGTGACTGAAATGACATATAGTATTTGAGTTCCAGCAAATAAAGATGCAGGAAATATTCATTGTTCGCTTAGACAAAGAGATCTAAAAGGTAGGGTGGCCTCTTAACTATTCTCCCGTTTCTAGTGGTGACAGGCACAGGAGTATTTGAAGAAACTAACTGGGAGTCAGTCTGTGAACCCCCCCCCCCCCTGTCACAGACCCATCAGACATCTGCGGCCCCGGGGGTTCAGTCGGCCCCCCCGGGCCTCCGGGCCACGGCTTGTTTTTTAAGATGGCCCTGCTCCTCCATCTCAGCTGGGCTGGTTTTTCTGGGCACCGCCGGGGGGGGGGGGTGCGGGGTGTGTCTCGTCCCCCCTTGAATAAAAAATGAAGAAAAATTTCTTTTTGCCTTTGAACAAGAGATACAAAAGGGGGGGGTGGCCTTTTACATTTCCCCCGGTTCTGGGAGGGAGAGACACCGGGGATTTTGGAGAAAACAAACTGGGGGTCGGCTGTGGACCCCCCCCCCCCCCTGTCACAGACCCATCAGGCATCTGCGGCGCCGGAGATTCAGTAGGCCCCACTGAGTCTACGGGCTACGGCTTGTTTTTTCAGATTGCACTGCTTCATCATCTAAGCTGGGCTGGTATTTCTCGGCAACGCCGGTGGGAGCGGTTGCGGTGATATACTCTTCCACCCTTTGTGCGGACCGTATAGGATCCTACCGCCAGCTGATCCTCCACTTGAGTGTAAACTATTTATACTGACCTGGAAAAGGTAGGATCCTTAGCTCCTGTGTCATAGTAAACAGCTTGCTTGTGGTTCTTACATTGCAATTTCTGTGCCACTTGATGAACAACATTTTTCTGAAGAATTTTGCCAGCGAAAGGCAGTAAGGAGCGAGTCCTTCGATAGAGGAGACGCTGTGCTGGAGAAATATAAATTCTTTATGATGGTGAGCTTCTAAACGCAAGTGGAGACATATTTGGATCATAGCTCGAGTCCGCAGCTTTCTTAAGAGAGACTTTGCTGTCTTTGCGCTGTTTTTCTACTTTTCCACTCAACTTGGGATATCTAGGTGAAGTTTTGATGTGCTCAAACTGGAAAGCTTTCGCAAAGTTATGCAATTCACAACAGTCGAACCGTAGTGAGTCTATCGGACAGACCTTATCTTGCAAAATTAGGCTTCAGCTTAGCAATAATTTCTTAATGATAAGTGGTAACAAGATAGTCAGTACTGTTGAGCTTAAGGTGGCTCCCTAGAGTATTTACTAATAACCCTAGCTATGTAGCATACGTTACAGAACGAAATCTAGTTACTTTGTCTTTGCGAGTTTGTTCACAAGATTCACCGCTAAGGTTACCCATATAAGAAGGCTCCTTTATCAAGTTTCGTTTTCTGGATTAAGGCCGTTGCCATGGCAACATCGCATCCTTAGACAGGTAGTAATTCTGTCATTTTTGATCATTTTTTCTTAATAGTTCTTCTTTCCCTCGGTGAAATGTCTTTAAACTTTGCCACTTTATACCAACGATATTGCTTAACATTTTAAAGTGTAAAAAACATGGGTTCGTTAAGACGGTTTTGCCAATATTTTGAAATTTGTAATTTTTCTTCATGGAGGAATTTAGCTCTTACAGATTTTAACAAAAAAAGGACAGTACAAAGGTACTGCAACTGTTAAGAAATGAGGCGATTTTTAAAAAAATTTACCGAGGGGAACGCGACGAATTCATGGTTAATTAACTACGTTGACGTCACAAAAATCCAAAAAACACGCGTGGTTCGTGGTCGTTTGAGCAAAATACGCGCGCGAGCCATCTCGCCCGCATGCGCATGATACACAAAGCTAGTGAAAACATGTGGTTTCTTTGAAGAGTACGAAAGCCACTGTTTTGAAGCCGTTCATTAGTATTATTACGGTGATAGCTCGCCAGTTGAAAAAGGAAAGATAGTGGATTCCATTATACCTAACACAGAATGTTTTCTTCAAAGTACTTGGCTATTGTAGCTAAAATTCCAACCGTGGTGGTCACTCGTGAGGATGGCGATCGTCGGAGATGAAGACGGCGGTTGTGCAAGGATCGCAATAAGCCCTTCATTTCCTAATCTGCTGTACACTGTTGGCAGATCTTCAAATGTCAGCCCACTTCCGGATACTTTTTCAACCTTGTTCTTCTTTAGGGATAATTTCGACGGCGAAGTTTTTCTTAAAAAGTCTGCTGTAAAAGATGGCGCCGATCTATAAATCGCACATTATGTCCTCAGCTACACGTACAAGACCGTAGGTTTCGACAGACAACTATTGCTTTCGTCAAGGGTCAATCTGTGAGTAAAAATTATTTCTCGTTGTGCAAAAACATTTCTAGTGCATCTTGCATGTGTGTTGAAGGACGTTTGAAACAAGAAAAAACACAAGGATGTTGGTTCGTCGATGGAAAAATTCCTTTGATTAGGATGGAAGTTAGGTTGGAAACCTTTTCTCTGATAAGTTTTTTAAACAATGTGATAGAGTCGGTAAAACAAAAAAAAAATTACACTCCCTGCAATCTTGTCTTAAAGCCACTTCTAGAGTAACTTAAATCAAATCAAAATGTTAGAGAAATAAAGTGACCGAGGAGCTCTGCCAGTGAAGACAATCTTCAGTGTTTGTTCGGGATATTGGCTCGATCTTTCAGATCTTTCCACTGACCGTGAACCAAAGGCCAGAAACAGCAACATTGCTTCCTTCTAGGTTAGTGCACTTACTTCTTTGTTTTCTAAGTAAAGTTTCCAATCACCATTTACTTCGACTATTTAACGTTTGTCTACTTTAATTTGAAGCGAAAGAATTGATGTTTTTGGAAAATTTCTGCTTTGTTTTTACATACAATTTACTCTTATGGAGATCGATAGTGACTTGTAACCGGTGTAACATTGTCTCCTCTCATAAACGTTTGACCTACACTAATCAAACTTTTTGCACAGTGAGCTTCAACAGAAAGTTAATAAAGTATTTTGGGGGGAAATTTCGAAGCTGAGAGGCCATGTTTGTTTTAATTTTTGCGTGGACGTCGCGCGGATTTTAAAGCTCGCCGCATACTAGTGCTCAGACTGCGCACGGCCAATTTACTCTAGAGAGCCACCTTAAAGAGGTCTGTCGAGATGCTCTGGTAGGGTCTTGTCGGTATTTCATGGTACACTAGAGGTTTTTTTCTGCTGTGTTGGTTTGTAACTATTACAGATACTGCATCTTGAGATGACCTTTGGAATCTACTTGTACATTCCTGGCCATTAGAAAGCTTCCTTAGCCCTCCATAGACAGCCCTGGACACCCAGGTGGCTTGCATTTATTGTGCCAGTGATACAATGTCTCAAGATATTATACGTTGGACCACGATTCTTTTACCCTTGAACACAACGACATTCTGAAATGACAGTTCCTCCATGAAGTTAGAACGCTAAGAGTGGACAAAGCTGCCAAATTATCTGGCCAACACTGCTTGTTGACGGTGGTTAACGACTCAAGTTCTGTATCAGTTTCCATAGCAGCCTTTATTTCTGAAAAAGTTACTGACGAATTGGTACAGACTCTGCCTATCTCATGCTCGGCCTCCACTTCAGTTGGTGACCTTATGTCATTGACATTCCAAACGTCTTATTTGACTTTTTCATCGTCATTGGTTGAAAGGAGATACGCTTTGCTAAGGGTATCTGCAATATGCATCTCGTTACCCTTACTGTAAGCTCAGACTTCTGTAATTGCAATAGCATTCTTTGCAGCCTCTTCGGAGCACTCAGCAGACTCTTCTTCATAATAGACTCCAAGGGTTTGTGGTCATTTTGAATAAAGACCTTTCTTCTATAGAGTTATCTCTCAAACGCCGAAGACAATTAATACCTGTTCTTTTTCAATTTGGGTGTTGTTGACCTCAGCGGCAGTGAGGGCTCTAGATGTATATGCCACTTAATGGCCATCCTGAAAAACACAAGCTCCAAGACCATCCAGGGAGGCGTCACACTGAATCACATTCTTTTTTTGAGAAGCATGAAACTTGAAGACTGAAGAATAGGTTTAAGACGTGCTTTACTTTCTCTGGGTACTTTCCAGGGACTTCCTGCTCTAGCTCTTTCAACAGCTTGAATAAGTTGGCTAGGTTAGGGACGAGATACGACGAGGCCCATGTAGGTGACTTCCTACTGTCTGAACTGCATCTCATCAGCAGTTAACTTGATGCTTTATGCTGGCAGCGGGTAAGCACCTCTCTTAAGTTCCCATCATGATCCTTAAGGGCTTCCTCATTTCTGTCCCCTGATCCAAAGACCATCGGCTATAGCCTTCTACCCTTGAAGCCCTTCAAGTGCCACATTTATTCGATTCTGAAATTCTTCTGGAACTGGCGACAATTCAAATGGCATTCGCAGCCAGCGAAATATTCCTCAAGATGTTCTAAGAGTGGTTGCAATACTGCTTGGTTCATCTTATTGGACATGCCAGAACCCATTTTTGACATTTAACACTGTAAACATACGAGCCTGTGGGAGCAGGGGAAGAACATTTATTTATTTATTTCGCTTCGCCTAACTAGAATACAATCTTTATACATGAATACATAGAAAAATATTAGGCAGGGAGACCACTACAGCCTAACTAATTACAGCGGATCCCTCGTTAAAAAATAATAAAAAAACTTGATAACTAAAGCTACTGATACTCGACAAGAAAAATCAAAAGGAAACAAAACAGAAATTCAAATTGCTAAAAGCAGCACGTCGGCTGGCACAGGAGAGTCCTCGCTATGTTGCACCTGACACAGATTGTTCGCCAGGTTCTGATGTGGTCAATGTCGTACAGGTCCAGAACCTTATTGTAAAATTGAAATAGTGAACACTTAAATGAGGCGAGAGAGATCTGACGTGTGCGTAATTCAGGGGGCAGAACATTCCATGTGCGGCTTGCGCGTATGAAAAATGAGCGTTGATAAGTAACAATTCTAGTTCGCTCAGGAATATATAATAGCATTGCTGCTCGATGACCTGGTAGATCTCGGTGATACTAGTTGTAGGCAGAGCTTCACTATTTAACAGCTTTATAGAAAAAGACTGTATCCAAAACTTCATGCCAGTATGAAATGGGTAACAGATTTGTTAGTTGGAGGCGGGTCTTATAGGTTACATCGCAACGGAAGGGAAGCTTCAAAATTAGTTTTGTTGCACGGCGCTGCACGTTTTCAGCTCGCTTTAGTAAGCCAATGGACTGTGGCGACCATACTTGGGTTGCGTAGCCGAGGTGGAAAGTGTGCAAAGTATTTATGGAGAAACGTTGGCCCGGCTAGGTGGCTGACGCTTCTATTACAAAAGGGTGACTCGACAAGGTGGGTTGCCTTTCTAACCGAGTCAGTTATTTGTTATTTTAACGATTCCCATGTTTTGTAAGGAAATGTGTGAAACGTTGGCTCATCCAGGGTAGCTGGTGTAGGCGGGTGACCCTTCTGCTCGAGACAAGTTTTCTTCATATAAGCGGATCCTAAATTTTAGTTCTTTACGTTAATTGCCGCAGTCCAGCTGACGCACATTTTTTTTGTTTTTGTTCTATAATGTGGAACACTGAAATTAAAAAACAGAGTGAAACCCCGTTGATGAGACCACCGTTTGGCCATAAAATCCTGGTCATAATAGCGTGGTGGTTGCATTAAAAAGGTCTTCAAAATAATAAAATGACTCGGAGATCTTCACGTCTGCTTCGGAAGACTATGGTATTAATAAAGAGGTGGTCGTATAAACGGTGTGGTCGTAAGGTAGAGTTCCTCAATATATAAACAGAAAACAAGAGTTTGACGAACAACCATGATCAAATTTTTCAAAAATATATATACTGCAAGATAATTGCAGGATCCTCACGCAAAATGTAATCCAAAACAATGGAACTTGCATATGCGAGAGCCG